AATGGTACCGAACCGAATATCGGGTATTTAAATGGTTCTATAAAATTTTATCCCGAAATGTTCCTCAATTAATTTAAAAAAAACATTAATGACAATTAATTTCTAGTAATGTAGTGTATATGACTTTTGTTGTATCATATTTGTGTAGTTTTGTAATGTACTCCGTAATTAATATGGTTTGAATCACAGCTCTTATGGTTCAACTATGAACTATATTAGAATTAATATTCAACTTAGAACAAAGAAGAACATTAAATATTTGTACTCTGTTCAATAATTTAACGATATTCTTTTTATATGTTCTCGTGAATTTCATAAAGATAATATTATACGATTGTATATTGTCATTTTGCTATATTTTTACTAAATTTCTGTCACTGTTTGAGTGTTTTTGAATTTAAATACAAAATTGTCAACCTCTTGAATCTTTTTTAGTATTTAGTATGCACTTTCTTGTATTTTTATCAAAATTTCGCGTCAATTGGCTCGTGTGATGATATCTACTAATTGCAAAATTTACTCAAATGTTTCGCCATGTGTTTGGCATTGTACCGAACCGTTTTGTACCATTCTGAAACGACATGACACCGAATGGTTCTATCCTTAGAACCGGACCGTACCGAACCGTTAGAAACCTCACAGATACATTACGAGTTTTGCTAATTTACCAGACCGTTCCGGACTGCGCCCACCCCTAAAGCTTTATATGATTAAAACAAGCTCCCAGAGCTTGGTTTCTTAAACTCACCGCAACTCTATGTGTTGATCTATGTTGATGAAATTCTTATTATTGGAAACAACAAAATTGTTGTTCAACAACTTATTCATAAACTGAATTCTAATTTCTCTCTTAAGCATTTGGGAGATCTTGATTCCTTTATGGGAATAGAAGCTCAAAAACTATTTGATGGTAGTTTAAATCTTTCTCACAAAATATGTGAGAGATCTTCTGGATGCAGCAGATATGACAAACTCTATAGGAATTTCAACACCAATGGTTAGCAATTGTAAACTTCTCAAAGAAGGGGGGAATTATATGACTGATCCCACTCACTACACATCTATTTTGGGAGCTCTTCAATATGTCACCTTAACAAGGCTCGAAATTAGTTGTGCAATTAATAAAATTTGTCAAATTATGGCCTCACCCTTAGAAGAACATTAGCAGGCAGTGAAACGTATCCTAAGGTACCTTTCAGGTACTTAAACATGGCCTTCTTCTCAAACCAGCTCTCTCAAGTTCACCTATTCGACTCATAGCCTTTTGTGATGCTGATTGGACTTCAGATCCTAATGATAAAAGATCAACATTTGGCTCTTGCGTATTCTTAGGACCTAATTTATTTCTCGGTGGTCCATAAAAGAGATTTGTGTTGCATGCATGATATTCAGCTGAAGTTGAATACATCAACCTAGCTGATACTGAAACTGAGATTTTATGGCTTCAATACCTACATCAAGAGACCCATGTTCCATTTTATGTTCCTCAAATCTATTGTGATAATCACAGTATTGTCCACCTAGCACTTAATCCTATTTCAACTCTAGAATTAAACACATGGAACTTGACATGTACTTTGTTAATGAGAAGATCTTTCATAAGAAACTTCATGTTTTACATATTCCTGCTCTCTATCAAATTGCTCTATCAAATTGCTGATGTGCTGACTAAACACTCTCTAGCTCCAAATTTCTTGAGTTAAGACCAAACTCTGTATTGTTGAATTTCTAACTAAATCACACTAAGTTTGAGGGGGTAATATTAGGAATATATCTTATTGTATATAGAATACCTAACTAACTAAATACTACTAGCATTGTTACTTTTAGTTAGTTAAGTAGATATAACAGCTACTCTTTCTATAAATACCTTGTAATGAGATAAAATCAGACTTAATAGACTCATACTTCATTGTTTTAAATACTCTGCTACGTTTCTCAATACTCTTCTAAATACTCTGATATTTTTAAAGGGTAAAAAAGTCATCTTTATGACATTTTCAGAGGAATGTGGCATTTTTACACAAGATGTCATTTTTTACAGTGATTGGAGTTTGTGGTGCCGGAAGGTGGGGGATGCAGCGGTGGTGGCCTACATGTTTTTTAGATTTTTAAAATTTTTTGAAATATTATTTATTTATTTATTTATTTATTTATTTATTTTATTTTCCGATTATTATTATTATTATTATTATTATTATTATTAATTTATACATATTTTTAATATCTTTATGTTTTTAGCATAAAAACCATGATTTTTTTATTATTAAAATAAATCTAATAAAAATAATACTAGTAAGAAGGGAGTAGAATAAGAAGGGATTTTTTTGAAAGGAAATAACTTATATTAAAATCAAATGAATCAAAGCAACAAACATGTCCCAAGACCTACACCCCTCTCCAAGCAATACCAAAAGTCCATCGACCCCTACATCATGATCAGACATACAATAGTCCACCCCGGATAGAGCGAGACTAATCGCTGAACGATGAGAGCAAAGAGGCATTAGCGACCGAGTCAGCCTGATTGTCACTTAGGCTGCACATCGGGCGGGTTGGATCGGGTTTGCTATATTTTTTGGGACTACCCGATTTGTTCGGGTTGACTATTAACCAACCCGCGGTACGCAAATTAAGTTGGTCAACCATGCATGAATGGGTCGGGTAGGGTCGGGTATTGGGGAAAAAATCACTTCGGGTTGCATCTTTCATGTGGAAAATTAATGTAACCAATTTAAAACTCGATTAACTTGTTTCCAAAACACACAAACAAATACAAGTACTCGTATCTTTTATAAGCCAAAACATTAGGTAATAGTATTAAAACATCCTTCCGTAAAAGAAGTTCATTTAGAAGGAAACGTAAATATAGAATAATCACCTAATCAAAATGATAAATGTTTAATTATAATTCTAATATCATAAAGTCCTAGATAGAGCACATTGGTCTTAAATTGAAATTATCCAAGAAAATGTTGTAGTATATTAATTGTAAAATGAACTTCGGCCGGGTCGGGTACTATCGGGTTTGAGATTTTAATTCCGCAACCCTACCCATTAGGTGCGGGTTGAAACATATTTAACCCATGAATATTTTTAAAAATCAAATACCCGATTAAATAGGGTCTGGTAGGGTTGGGTCGGGCGGGTTATGCGGGTTCGGGTTATTCTTGTGCAGCCCTAATTGTCACCCAATAGAAACCTATCTAATGAAATAAACCAAGCAACAACCCTACTCCCCTTAGTGTTCGAATTAACGATAACAACAAAATTCATAATTAAAAAACTCAAAAAGAGTAAAATGGAATTAAATAAAATAATCTTATGGAGTAACCGAATCCATACTTCAAACGTCATTCTCCATGACGACGGTCCGGGAGGGGGATGGATCATCAACACTTCATCTTCTTCCTTATGACTCTGGAATTTTCCATGCCACATACATCAAGCAAAGCCTTCCACTCAAATACTCAATCCCTTAATCTGGTCCGCTCGTAAAAGGCCACCACCACAAGCCCTGAATTTTACCGATCCCGGATCTTCCATCTTCCTTATGATTGGCACAGTATTTAGCTGCCGCCTTATCCTGCTTTCGTCTTCCTGAGCAACCGAAACCCTGCCACCATGAACAATCACCACTGCCGTTCGTCAAACTACCCGACACTTCGTGGAAGACCTTGTTTAGACTTCCCGCGACGTCCGTCCTTACACCGGTCGTCCATCGCTTCCTTCGTCTCGCCCGAAGCGGCGAAGTCTTTCTGAGTGCCCTGCCTAAACAAATGATCCCCTTTGATCTCCGGACAGTGGAAGCTGTCTGACCCAAAGTTACGGAACCTTAGAGCATCTCCAATGCTATAATGTGCACGGTGCACATGTGGCATGAGTGATAACCACATAAATATTAGCATATAAATTATCTCTCTCCTTATTTGAATGATTTTATACAATTTTGGTAAGTTTTTCCCTGCAATGTCAACAATAATGTCAACAATGTCACCTAATGATGACGGTCAACAACAATTTTGCACATTTTACCATTTTAGCTATGACCTCTCCCCTCTATGACAAAGAATTTTTTACCTACTCAAAAGAAGGGACGTATATTAATCATATTTTGGATATAAGAAGATTATAATCCTATTATTATTGCATTTAGATCTACTTTTAATCCTACTTAGAGCTAATACCCCTTATTATTAAACTTTTAAAAGGAGTGTCCATTGTCCAAACTTAAATGGAAACTTCTCAACACTATCGGTTGTGATTTGTGAATGCCCTTGATTTAAATCCAATCCGAAAGTAAAAAAGCAGGTCTTACACGGGAGTTCATTAAAGTTTAAAATCCTAAATAAAATAGGAAAAATTGAAAATAATAATCCCAACTATTGACGGTCCGCCGATAATAATCCCAACTATTGATTATTTTTGTATAATCCCAACTATATGAACCGTCCGCCAATAATGGTCCATGATCAGATTTAACTCCTATAAAAAGTGAATTTTAACTATAAATTAAGTGTAAAAATTAAAAGTTGGTATTATTTATAGGCATTACTTGTTATATCTCTTCTCATCCATTTTAAAAACTACAAGAATTTATTCTTAGAGACCATTATTAGCAGAAGGTCCCTAAAGTTGAGATTATTCTGAAATAATCAATAGTTGAGATTATTATAAGCAGACCACCGATAGTTGAGATTATTACTATCAATTTTTCCAAAAAAATAATGCCCGCAAGTAAATCCCTAATTTCTCCCTAATTCTCTATTGATTAGGGAGCTGACTTCTGACTTCACAAGCAAATTCAGTAGACTCACCTACAACTGATCCCTTTTTTCTTTCTGATCTCATTCTTTATTCCACCGATCATAGTCAATAGAGCATTCTGCCCATTTCAGAGAAGTGAGAACCTAATTCCAAACACAACTACGCCAAATCCTCAACTTGTAGAAACTACCTCAGAATTTGCATAAGAAAGAATAACGTATATATTCTGTCTCTCTCTCACTCTCCCTGCCCAGAATATGAGAGTATATAGCTACTGTGAGGATTGAAGTAGTAGTGTTAGTACATGAAAATGGGTTGTTTTTGCATCAGGCTAAAACATCGAGCTTATGAAGATCCTGCCACTTTATCAGCACAAACACATTGTAAATTGCAAAACTCCCTATGTTTTAGCCTTTTTCTTTGGAAGTTTTGTTTGAAATACTTTTGTTTTGAGAGGATAAAGACATGCATACTTTTTCTTTTGTATTTGCAGTTACAGTGAAAGAAGTGAAGGCCCTGTTTGAACTTTTCAGCAAAATAAGCAGTTCTGTTAAAGATGATGGCTTTATCACCAAAGTAGAATTCAACTGTTTTTTTTTTTTTTTTGATACCACTTGGACTGTTATTTTATTCTTGAAGATGACTTTTATTTCTTAATTTTTTTGGAGCAGGAAGAATTCCAGATTGGGCTGTTTAGAAACAGCAAAAAACAGTCTTTCTTTGCAGATAGGGTAAGTAAAAAAAGAGCAGTACTTAATTTCCCAACTCCATTATAATGAATATTTTGAATTTTGGATCAGATGTTCAAGTTGTTCGATTCCAACAACGATGACGTGATAGACTTCGGGGAGTTTGTTCAAGCTTTAAGTGTTTTTCATCCTATTGCTTCCTTGGAAGAGAAATGTGATTGTAAGAAGACTACCAGCATTCCATAAATCAGTTCACAAAACATAACCCCGCGTTACTGGTGTTAGTATTAAGACTTGAGATTCCATATTAAAATGTTGATAAAATAGCCCATATGTGCGAGATGACTTGACAATACCATATGTGAGTTCTTATGTTTATGTATTTAGCCTATGCGGGATGATTTAATAAATACGTTCTCGTTTTCTCGCAGTTTTGTTTAAACTCTACGACGTGTCTCATGTTGGCTTCATTGAACATCAAGGGGTAAGAAAAGCCTTTACTTTATTAGTTTATCGCTCCTTAATGTATAATGCTGATACCACTGTTGTTCAAAGCCTGCCTGTGATATACAATCAGGTTAGAAAAATGATTGTGGCACTTCTTCATGAGTCAGAATTGTCACTTCCTGATGATATTATTGAAGCTATTATCAACAAGGTAATTAGTCCTCTTTACCTTAATTATTTTAAACTTTTCTGAACAGTTTTTTGTTGTCTTGAACCTTGTTGTGGTTATTTTCTTCACTAATCTTTTTCATTTTAATATCTTTTCTACTTGGTTCATGAAGACTTTTGAGGAAGCAGATACTAATGATGATGGAAGGATAGATGCAGAAGAGTGGAAGGATTATGTATCTAGGAATCCATCTTTGTTGAAAAACATGACAGTTCCTTATTTGATGTATACAATTCTTTTATTCTTTTCACATCTTCCCTTATTTGATACATGCAATTCTTATATTCTTTTCACCTCTTCAAAACGCTCTTGAAATTTCATTACAATCATGAGAAAGTTATATATTGGTGATTTAATTTGTGCAGGGATATCACAATTGCATTTCCTAGCTTTAAGATGAAACCAGAAACGGATGATGAGACAAGGAGCGACTTCTAAATTGTGAAACTGAAGTGCAATATATTGTACATCTGTATCATATACGTAGTATCATATCTATACATACATGAGAACATTGTAATTTTTGTACCACAAGAAAGATGGAAGGGGACTGGAAAACTATAGTTTTGAGTAAAAACGGTCAGTTTAGTCCTCGAAGTTGCAAAAAAGGGGTCAAATAAGTCCTTATATAGAAAATTCTGTCTGGACGTGCCATTTGAGGTGGCTCCCGATAAAATTTTTTGATTAAATTTTTTGAGCATCTTATTCATTAAGTCTAGTTTACTCATACCAAATTTCAGCTAAAAATTCAATCGGGGAAACATTCAAATGAATTCTTGAAGATAACTGCGCTTTGAACAGCACAATTATCTTCAAGAATTCATTTGAATGTCTTCCCAATTGAATTTTTATCTGAAATTTGGTATGAGTAAACTAGACTTAATGAGTAAGATTCTCAAAAAATTTAATCAACAAATTCCACCGAGAGCCACCTCAAATGGCACGTCCGGACAGAATCTTCTATATAAGGACTTATTTGACCTCTTTTTTGCAACTTCGAGAACCAAACTAACCCTTATCCCTTTTTAATAAGAAGCAATATTGAATAAAAAAAAGGACCCAGGATGGAGTGATGAAGGGAGTCCGGGGGAAGACATTATTGGTGTGATGTGATGTGAATGCAATAGTGTCACGCGAATTGCCAGTGAGGGGAGAGTAATTCCGCAAATTATACCGTGGGATCGGCCCACCATGCGCATGGTGTGCCGATCCCAAAACGAGGCCGTTTTATATTAATTAAAACAGAGCCGACAAAATTCACCGTCTTCTCCAGCCGTCCAGCGTGTGCTTCGTCCCTGCGGCCAAAAATTTAATTCCTTTGCTGATACGAAGCTTCCTTGTTGAACCTCCCTACCTGCTGAATCGAATTTGTAATGCTTCGTGCATATGAGACTAAAGACAATTATGTAGCAAACTCTAATTCAAACCAGTGAATGCATAATTTAACACAAGCTGTTAGCAAAGAAGATAGCTCGTCCATCTTTGGCCGTACTTGTCTTGCCGGCGACGCAGTATTCCCTTACGGTGGATTGAAGGACTTTGATAATATACATTCCAGAGTATAAGTTACATAATTTTATGCTTGAGTTACATTATTTTATTTGCGAGTTACATCTTCTGAAACGCAAGTTACATTTGTCATCAACGCGAGTTACATTTGTTATAACATGAGTTACATAAAAAATAACTCACTGTTATTGAAACAAAAAAAAAGTTTTTTTTTTTAAATTATTGTGATGGTCATGATATTAAAAACAAAACATATTCACGATTTACGTAAAGTAATTGTGTAGTTAGACTCTTTTTTCATTGTTTGCATTGAAATCAATGTTTTATTTCTTATAGTATGTATTTGATAAGTTACATTTCGAATAGACTTGAGTTACATTGATCAATAACGTAAGTTACATATCTTTACACGCGAGTTACATCATTCATACTATCGGGACAAAAAACAGTTACTGAATACGCGTGTATTGTTCACGCGTTACTGTTCACGCGATTTTTTTTAAAAATTGTGCAAGACTGCGTCGTTTTGGATGTGGGAGCACGGTGCTCACCGTAGGATATGGATTGTAACTGTCATCCTAAAATGATGCCGAATCCACGATCCATGCAAATAAAATCCATTATTTTGTCTCCTTGTTGCCAAACTTTAAATTCTCTAACAACCATCCGTTACCCACAACATTATTCCACAAGATAACATGACAATATCCTCAATTTGCAAACTACCTTTAAAAATATATACTCTATATATGCTAATGTTTTTTTGAAAGAAATGTTCTTCCCACATATTTTAAAGATCATTATATTAGACTTTGTCACAATATTTAAGAACGACATAAAATGAGTAATGAATACTGTAAAAAAGTAGGAATTTAAAAAAAGTATGAACGGAAAGATAAAAAGTAAAAAAATGTAAGGTTAATTGAGCAATTTTAAAAGAAAAACTTACAAAAAATGAAAGTGTAACAAACTTTTAAATACATCTCAAATAGTCTACGGTGTACATCACCCTGAACTTTAGGATGAAATCAACATTTTTTTCTCAATCCAAGATTAGGGCTGGTTCGGTATGACATACCGGAAATTTTCTGCCATACCGTATACCGTACCGAAATACCGGTATATGAAAATGGCATACCGTTGCCGTACCGAAACTTCGGTATACCGATGTTTCGGTATACCGAAATTTCGGTAACACCAAATGGCATATTGATGCCGTACCAAATATTCGGTATATTCGGTATACCGAAAAACAAGCGGTATACCGAAACTTAAAAAATTATTGCCAAAAACCTGCAACTATCATAGACTTCCATGTTAGGGATCCAAAAACCTAACTTCAGGGATGTTTAAGGCAATCTGAAAATAGATGTATTGTGTCTCGATCTAAATCTTGAGCATTTGGATTAAAACTGTCCACTTAAAAAAACATCACTTATAGATATTGATGCCACACAGAATCAGTTAAGAGTAGTCAATGGCTATTCAAGAATAAAGGCTTCAAGGCATCCCTTTAAAATGTCAAAGCAGAGTAATTCCAACAAAATATCAGTTTACAATTTGAACTTCAAATACATATTTAGCATAGAATTCATTAAAGCAATAAAGATGGAGCCTGAAATGTGAAATCCACATGATCACTGCACTTGTGGGCTATCGTTTGAATTCCTTGAGCTCTGAAAAGAGGAAGAAAAAAGGGTGGAAAAACAATTCATGGAGAATAAACAAAACAAAATCAGACATTAAGATTGTGACAGGAAGAGCATGCAACCCAAAATTTCATTATGCTTTTTTGCATGAATCATCCTTAACATCATCTGAAGTTCCATAGTACAAAGTCCAAACTAGTTGAGATTGGTGGAATTACACATGTGATTTGAAGAAAATCAATTACATTCTTTTGACGGGCTGAAAAGTGATTCTAGTATTTGGTTTATCATTTCACCAAGGAAAGCAAGATATAGATGAATTTTATAAGGTCCTCAAATTGGTAGTGTTAAACAGAACTGGTAGTGTTATGCAAGTCATTATGTAGCCACTGGAAAGGCCATATAAATGGAAAACAAAATATGGAACTTTTTTTTCGCAAGCAAATGGGTAAACTGGGATAAATGTAAAGTGTAAAGTGTACAAAGCTCAGGAAACAATGATGCAAAGAAAACATAATCAACTCACAAGCCCTTGCTAGGCATATTATTCTGCAGCTCCAATGCATTTTTTAACATCCCGTTTAAACTCAGGCAAACCGATAATATGCAAAAAAAAAACTGAAACAGAATAATCTACATATTAAACACACAAGTCCTTACCCGCCATATTATTCTGCAGCTCCAATCATATTTTTCCATTTAGTAAAAAAATATATAATCTGAAACCAATTGATAAACTGGTAGGAAATGAAGCAATACAAATCTAATATGCAAAAAACTGAAGCCATTTAAAATCGATATCACAGATGGAAGAACATACATATACAACAAAAGATAATGATTTAGTAATTTACTGGATGCACAAATGATTTTACCCATTGGTAATCATACTGCCAGCTGAAAACTGGAACATGCCTATGCCTGAGAAGAGGTCTGAGAATGTTCCTGAGTCGCATTTGCATCTGTAGAAGGAACATAAAGATGCAATAATTATTATTCAAAATTTATCATGTAAATCTAAACTTAATGCAATAAAAAAGGTTTACTCTTTTCAATTTCTTCAATCTCTTTATACAAGGCAAGGTCATCATCAGTTGGATCCTTATAAAAGCTGAAATCCTCTGCTCTTAACCAATCATTCGTACAAACCAAAGCTTCAACCATTTTAGGACTTAAACTGCTTCTAAATGGATCGACAACCCTTTTGCCTAAACTGAAAGCAGATTCACTTGCAACCGTTGAACTTGGTATTGCAAAAATATCTTTTGCAATCAATGAAAGAATTGGGTACCTAGTTTCACTTCCTTTCCACCACTCCAAAAGATTAAAAGATTGATTAGATCTTTTCTCAATCTCATCAGCAAGGTACTTATCTACCTCATTAGAAATCTCTTGGAGTTGTTCTTCTTCATTTTGTGCTTCAACATCAGTAAATAATTCATCCCAAAGACCATCACCCGCACTATTAGTACCATCTCCATCATCCAGCTCCAATTGCACACTTTGCCGCTCAACATTAGTGGTCTCATTTATGCCTTTGTATTCTGTCCACAGAGTTACTAAGTCGCCTTTAACTTTATCAACAAAATCTTGGACCTTTATAGTAGTATCTGGAAGTTTTTTTATACTTACTTTAATCATCTGAAGCTTGTTTCTTGGGTCCAAAATATTGCTAATAAAAATTAAAGGATTTTATAGTATTCCAATCACCCCAATACTTTTTAAACTTCAACAACATTGCACCAGCCACCTTCTTGAGAATTGGGTCAGAATTGTCATTTTTCTTTTTTTCAATCTCAATTTGTAGTGCAATCATGGACTGATAAAGAAATTGAGAGGTGGGGGTTTTTGATGCACTTAACTCTAAAGTGACATCATAAAACTTTTTTAAGAAGTGCACAAAAGCTTTAGCATTCTCCCAATTTTCATGACTTGGAGGCCCTACCCGTACTTTACCCTTTTCATTCTTTTCACGGAAATACTTCATAAATGGTAACCACTCTTCAGCCATTCTTTCAAACACCCTCCTAAACTTCAATGCAATTTCAAGCATTTTATAGGTTGCATTCCACCTTGTTTTGATATCCATAGGCACAGTTGATGTATTAGGAAATTTTGCTAATACGGCAAACTCTCTAAATTTATGCAACCTAGATGGTGAAGAATGAATGAAAAGAACTGCATTCTTTATAGATTCAATTGAATCATTGAGTTCTTTGAGACCATCCTTAACAATCAAATTGAGTATATGACATCCACACCTCAAATGCAAGTAGGTTCCTTCAAACAACAATGTATTTTCAATTTTCATTCTCTTTTTCAAGTAGTCAATTGCTGTATCATTAGAAGAAGCATTGTCAACTACTATCGAAAATACTTTTTCTATCCCCCACTCTCTTAGACAAACCTCAACCACCTTACCAATATCTTCCCCAACATGACTTGTGATTTTCGTGAAGTTAATTATTCTTTTGTGCAGTTTCCAATCATTGTCCAAAAAGTGGGCAGTGACCACCATGTAATTTATGTTTTGGATGGAAGTCCATGTATCAGTTGTGATACTTACCCTTTGCCCACTAATCACACTTCTTATTTTAGCTTTCTCAACTAAAAATAAGTCGTAAACCATACCTGCCACCTTCTTACGATCTGGGATTCTGAATCTTGGTTGCAATTCATGCACAAGACTTACAAAGCCCTTCCCTTCAACAGCTCGGAATGACATCTCATCGATAATAACATATTCAGTAAGCTTTAACTCACACCTTTTTTGATTGAAAGTATGAGAAACTAATTCACTAACCTGCCCCATTGTCACATTTGTCAATACAGGCTGATTCTTGTCATTTTCACTTGCTTTGTATAGGGGACTTAATTTGCACCTCTTCTCTAAGTGGTTTTTCAAGCCGCTAGTGCTTCCATGACTCGCTGGGATCTGTGTTTGACAATACTTGCAAGTTCCAATTGGTTGGATGGTGCCATCCAGCAAGGTCCTTGACCCTTTTACACAATGATTCCAAAAGATGCTTCGAGGTTCAGAAACAGGAGGCTTAAGTGCTGCTGACTTGTTCCTTGCTCGTTTGCGGCTAGTAGCAGCTTCTCGCGTTTCAGAGTCGATCATTTCTGGTGATTCGGATGGAGTTGGAAGAGAATGAGATGATTGGGATTCCATTCTTACTTCTGAAATCAAAACAATCATTAGTTTGTGATGCTAAACAACCATATATATATATATATATATATATATATATATATATATATATATATATATATATATATATATATATATGTAGATATATAAAATTAATATGACCTGCATTCATACTGGGAGTTGGAGTTTAGATAAATCACTTACCAGGTTATCCCTTCTGGCAGAGTAAGTTATGTGCTGCATCCATTAAAAAAGCTATCACAAATCAATATATGCACTTAAAACAGTCCAAGTAAAAACACCCGAGTGTGGCACCTTGCTATACTATTTTTTTGGATGGGTTGGAGCTTCTTTGGGGTACTGAAAACCTCAGAGAAGGGTTTTCACCCCTCCTATTGCGGTTATTAACAAGGGTGGAGTCAGGATGTAGTATGAGTGATGACAAATTAATATAACAATGAAAATTACCATAAATAAGAGTCCGTTTGGTGATCCGTTTTTCGACTTATCAGACAACTTTTTCACTAAACATGTAACTTTTGATTTTGCACGCTAAATTGTGCAATAATCAAAATATGTAAAATTGAAGTTACTTTTATGACTGAAGTTACTGTAGAGGACAACTTGGGCTATTTTTTCATATAATGTTTTCTTTATTTTTAACAAAATAAATTTTAATTTTTTTCACTATTTAGAAGAAGTAGCTAATAACTCCGCCATGATATCATTTTTTTGGTATCATGTCTGTCCCAAGCCAGGATAAAGGAGGAGGGTGCTGTGATGAGCCTGTGGTAAGCGCGTGACGGCCAACAGTATTACTTAGTCACACCTCATGACATGAATCGAAACATGAAAATTGTTACAGCTAGGTCGTCGCCCGTAAGCGACGCGTCATCCCTCTGCCTGGGGGTGGTGTCAAATATGCAAGGGACACGCCTGGGTGTGGTGTTAAGAATGCTAAGGCTGCTAGGTCGTCGCCCGGAAGCGACACGCCACTCTAATGCCCGGGGATGGTGTCAAATATGCAAGGGCATGGTGGGAGTCGATGTGGCCGGTGCGAAGAAGAAAAGGCAGGATGCTCGCTTGCGTTTTGGGACATGGAATGTTGGATCTCTTACGTGAAGATCATCTGAGATAGCTGAGGTTATGAAAAGGAGAAATGTCAGCATAATGTGCATGCAAGAAACTAAGTGGGTTGTAGAAAAGGCACGCGAGATTAATCTCGGAGGTTTTAAGCTGTGGTATTCGGGTAGAGAATGGAATAGAAATGGAGTGGGCATTATGGTGGCACATGATTATGTTGAGGGTGTGGTGGAAGTCTGCAGGAAGAACGACCGCATCATGAGCATTAAGTTGATAATAGGAGATGAGATTGTGTCCGTGATAAGTGCCTATGCACCACAAGTGGGATTGGATGCATCTATCACTTTACAATTTTGGGAGGATCTTGAGGAAGTGGTGTGACGAGTGCCAAGGGGATAGAAGCTGGTCATAGGAGGCGACCTCAACGGGCATGTGGGCCCAAGTCGTGATGGTTTTGAGAGTATCCATGGCGGACATGGTTTTGGCACTAGAAATGAAGCGGGGAAGAACATTCTAGATTTTGCCTCGACACATGAGTTGGCCGTAATGAACACCTAGTTCAAGAAAAGAGACTCTCACCTTGTGACCTATAGAAATGAAGTTAATAGTACCCAAATTGACTACTTTTTAGTACGGACGACTTGGAGAACTAGCTACACTGATTGTAAGGTTATCCCAGGTGAGAGTGTTGTCACTCAGCATAGGATGCTTGTGCTTGATTTTCAAGGTTAAAAGAGAAGGCGAGTTAAGGTACAAGGGGAGCCAAAGATAAAGTGGTGGAGACTCGAGGGGAATCTCCAACAAACTTTTGCACAGAAAATGTTGGAGGAAAATGTTTGGTCCATTGATAATGACACACATGTGGATGATGTGTGGTTATCAATGGAGGCCACCATTAACAAAGTTGCGAAAGAGATACTTGTAGAATCTAAAGGATGTCTACCACCAAAAAAGGACACATCTTGGTGAAATGAATAGGTGAAATAAGCAATAAGGACCAAAAGGGAATGCTATAAGAAATTGGGCAAAAGCTGGAGCGACGAGAACATAGAGGAGTACAAGGAGGCTAGAAGAAGAGCAAAGAAAGCTGTAAAGGAAGCAAAAGGAAAAGTGAATAAAGAATTGTATGCAAAATTGGACTCTAAGGAAAGAGAAAAAGATATTTACAGATTTGCTCGTTTTCGTGACCGTATGACTCAAGATATCAGAAAAATTAAGTGTGTGAAGGATGTCGATCAAAGGGTACTAATGGAGGACGGAGAAATAAAGGAGAGGTGGAGGTCATACTTTGATACCTTGTTCAACGGGAATAAGGTGCAAGGTATTGATGATCTTACTATACCTGAGTGTATGGTAAATCGGGACTTTGTGAGAAGGATCCAAATAACAGAAGTTAAAGAGGCTTTTGGAAAGATGGGGCGGAAGAAAGTAGTGGGCCCAGATGGCATACCGATCGAGGCTTGGAGAAGTTTGGGAGAGAAAGGCATTGAGTGGATAACACGTTTCTTCAACATGATTGTGAGAAACAACAAAATGCCAATGAGTTGGCGGAAGAGTACTCTCATTCCCTTATTTAAAAATAAGGGTGATGTACAAGAATGTGCCAACTATCTAGGGATTAATCTTATGAGTCACACTATGAAACTTTAAGAGTGGGTGGTTGAGCAAAGGCTTGGAAAAAGTGTGAAAATTTTAAAGAATTAGTTTGGTTTTATGTCTGGACGCTCAACAACTGAGGCCATTCACCTTCTTAGACAAGTCGTGGAGAAGCATAGAGACACTAAAAAGGATCTGCATTTGGTGTTCATTGACTTAGAAAAGGCGTATGATAGGGTACCTCGAGAAGTTCTTTGGTGGGACTTAACTAGAAAAGGCATATCACGTAAGTATATCAGTATCATCATGGATATGTATGAGGCTTGTACTACGAGTGTTCGTACTAGTGTAGGGAGGACCGCATAGTTCCCTATTACTATCGGAGTGCACCAAGGATCAGCTCTGAGTCCCTTCTTATTTGCTATAGTTATGGATGAACTTACGAAGTCAATTCAAGAAGATATACCGTGGTGCATGATGTTTGACGATGATATTGTATTGATTGATGAGACACAATCGGGTGTTAAAGCAAAGTTAGAAGTATGGTGACAAACTTTGGAGACCAAGGTTTTCAGACCAAGTCGGAGCAAGACTGAGTATATGAAGTGCAAATTTGGTGGAGGTAGAAGTAGTAGCAACAGTGGGATTACTCTTGATGGTAAGGAAATACAAGTGTGTGATATGTTTCGTTATTTGGGCTCCATAATTCAGAAGGATGATGAATTAGATGGAGATGTATCCAACATACGCATTTCTTTGCGATCGAGGTATGCTGACTAGACTGAAAGGTAAATTTTATCGAACAGCAATTAGGCCTGCTTTAATGTATGGCGTAGAGTGTTGGGCGGTGAAACAATGTCACATTCAAAAGATGCGTGTGGCAGAGATGCATATGTTGCGTTGGATGTGTGGCCATACCAGAAAAGATTGCTTGAGGAATGAGGTAATCAGACAAAAGGTGGGAGTAACACCTATAGAAGATAAGATGCAGGAGTCTCGTTTGCGGTGGTTTGGGCATGTGCGTCGAAGACCGAGTGATGCACCTGTTAGACGACTTGAGGGGTGGGGAGAAGAGACAAAGAGGAGAGGGAGGGGAAAACCTAAACAGACTTGGATTAGGGGAATCAGAACTGATATGCGTCTTCTTAGGTTGGATGAGAGCATGGCTTTGGAGAGGGCAAAGTGGAGGGCGCACATTTGTGTGGACGGTTGATCTTTTTATTTTCTTTTCCTCTCTCGTTTTCTTTTCTTTTCTTTTATTGCTTATCTTCTTTGTCTTTTTTATGTTCTTATGTTATTTTTATGTTCTCCCTTTTTTATGTTCTTTTATCTTTTAATCTTTTATCTTTCTTATATTCTTATATTTATCTATCTTTATAATATTCATTTTATCTTTTTATTTCCTCTTGTTTGTCTTCTCTTTATGGCTTTGATATCATGGATCGATTCATGTTAGCCGTCCCCAAAACCTTTTGGGATTAAGGTTTGGATGTTGTTGTTGTATTTAGAAGAAGTAGCTAATCTAGCCACTTGATTAATAACTTCATAAATTTGAGCAAAACTAGATGATTCAGCCAATTTCAATGTTAACCAATAGGCTCTAAGATTACAAATAATGTAAATTCAAAAATAAAAGTATCATATTATTTTTGACTTTCTAATTAAATATCATCACCATATGTATTAACTAAAAAACTCTCTCTCTAGCGCCTCCGACTAGGTTGGCCTAGGGTTTGTCCGGAGGCGGGCTTTCGTGGCTTGCCACTGCGTTTTTATTTGTTAGCGGTGTTTTTTGGTTGAAGTATTGAAGGACAACGAGTTGAAGGAGTTCGGCTCTGCTACAAACTGAGTGGGTTGCTTGAAGAATTCTTCTGACATAGCCGGTGCAGCGGCCACGAGGCTTGCGGTGCAGAGTTGTAGGGCATGACGACGAAGATGATGACTGCAAGCGGTGATTGGGGCTCACGTGTGGGACGAGGAGAGTTGTATGGGTTTCGTATAGGCCATCTTTTGATCGACAATGGAGGATCAACTAGTGAGGTACCAATAGTACGGCCTCCTCCTGAACCACCGCCATGGGTTGTGCGAGAGGCTAGAGTCCGTGAAAGTTTTCCAATAAATTTTTATTATTTTGTTAGTTGGTTTCATGATGTCATCTTTGTCGCTCGGTTTGTCAGTTTGTTTGGGAATTTAGCCTAGTTTTATGTCTTTGAGTATGTTTGGATCTATGGGAACATGGATGGCTGTGTCAAGCCCGTTACATGGTTAGCGATTCGTGTTGCTGAGGTGACCGTTTCTAAGTCTGATCATAGGGTTTACATACAGTCGTAATTGTGGGAGTCTAGTAGTTGG